GTGGAGAAGACGCTGCTCTCCTACCTCGACAGCTGCCTGCGGCACAAGAGCGAGATGGTCACCTACGAGGCCCGCTGCCCGGGCCCCTCCCCGCCAGAGGAGGAGGAGGAGGAGGAGGAAGAGGAGGAGGAGGAAGAGGAGGAGGAGGAGGAGAAGAGTAAACCCAAGATACATCAGCGATGCGGCGACACATCCTCTAGTCCTAAGCCCCATCCTCACACGTCCCTTCAAGCCTTCCTGTTCGCCACAAGAAGTGCGCCCACTCTGAAAGACCTGCGCCACATGGGCCTGCCATTTTGGCGAGGGCCCCGTTTTGAAAAGGAATGCCCTGCATCCTCCTGGCGCAGAATCAGGAATACGCAGAACTACTATCCTCACATGTGTGCGACGCAACTCATTCGTCTATTGGGAAGGCCTTGCGGCCGGTGCCTCCGACCCTGAAGGGGGACGTCGACGACGACGGCGGCGGTGGCCTCGGCGACGACAATGGCGACGCTGACGTGAGCCCGAGTCCTCAGTGATGCTTCTTGCGGTCTCCTGGGAAGGCTCTCGGGGGCCTCTGGGGAGGAACTTTGGGGTCTCTTGGGAGCCTCTTAGGGGCCTCGTGGGGGCCTTTTCGGGTGTCCTGGGGGCCTCTTGCAGGCTTCTTGGGGCGTCTTGGGAACCTCTTGGGGCTTCCTGGGAGCTTCTCGGGGCCGAGGGCTCGAAATGTCCGTTCGGGTTCCCCGTCAAGGCACGCTCTTGGAGTCGTCCTGGGGGCCTCTGGGGCCGTCTTGGAGGCGTTTTGGGCTGTATTGGGGTTCTCTTGGGATGTGTAAGAGCGCTCTGGGAAGCGGTCTTGGAGCGATCTTGAGGGCCTCTTCGGCTGTCTTGGAGCGGCGGGAAGCAGAATGGCGAGAACGCCCAAATCTGTCAAAAAACCAAGGGGACATCTATGATTTCCCCTGAGACCCCCGGGGACACCCCGGGGACCCCCTCTGGGCCCCCCCCCCCCCTGGCGCGGGGAATGGATCATAGGGAAGGGGCTTCCCTTCGATTCGATTACGACACTGCAGATTTCTCTCGCTGACAGGCTTGAGGAGGATGCAGGGAAAGGGGGCAACGCAGACGACGACTGACGGAGTCTATGACTGGAAAAGACACACCCCTCGCACACGCCGGCAGGTTGGCGGTTTGATGTTCTGGGTATGGGTGACATTGTGTGCGAGGTATTTGTCGGCCTCCGTTTTCGATGTCGGCCATCGTGTAGTTTTCGGATTTCGCTGGCCGATACCGCCATTCGCTATACTTTGATATTGATAGGGGCGACACTGAATGGGCGACAGGGGTCGACACTGCAGGGGCGCGCCAACAACTTTTGAGGTTACTCTTATCGAGGGTTGGCCGCGCGGAACAATTGCGAGGCCCAGCTGGCTGGCAACGCCGCGGCGCGCGCGCATTTTGATAGTAGGTTTACAGCGGCTACGGCCCACAGCAGCGTTCCGTACTGCTTTGCCCAACTCCAGATCGAGGCGCATTTGCTCAAGCCATGGTTGGCTCGTAGATTCTTAGAGCTCCGTTCGGATTTGAGAGAACCACATCCACTTGAACAATAATGGCTCCATCCTGTGGGCCAAAAAACCGTCGGACGCTCCTGCTCGCCGCAGCTGCTATGAGTTTACATGCAAGTGGCCTTGGTAGCACTGCTGCGTATCAAATTATTCAATCGCTTCGCTCATTCCGCCGGCCCTCGAGCGCTCTATGGGGCCTCTTTGAAGCCTCTTGGGGGCCTCTTTGGGGCCTCCTAGGGGCCTCTTGGCGACCTCTTGGGGGTCTCTTGGGGCTCCTTGGCGGCCCCCCATGGGCCTCTTGGGTGGCTCTTGGGGGCCTCTTGGGGCGGGGTAGTCGAGTGCACCTCCCTCGGAGGCCACGATCCTCGTGAGGGGTGTCGAAAAAAGGCCCTCAAAACCATCTCTGATCCGACCCTGCCGGGGATCGCCCAGGGTACTTTTCGCCGGGGGACCCCCAGGGTCCGCCCCGCGCGCGCGAACTAGAAGTATTATTTAGCAGTTACCGGAGATCTTAGCACGCCTCTGGCCCGTTGGGCCGGCGAATATAGGCTCCGCTCTCTTTGGCGGGTCGCGTCGGCACGAGCGGCTGCAGCGGTCCTGCGTGGGTATACGAATGCCGAGACTGAATCATCACGCGGGTTCAGCGGGACCGAGAACATGCGCAATGAAGAATTTGAAACGAGCTTCCTTCGACAGGCTGAACCTCAAGAGTGCGCGACGCAGTGTACTCGTATGTCTGATGTTCTGGGTGTGGGTGACATTGCGTGCGAAGTACTTGGTGGCACCCTCTCTCCAATCTCGGCCATCGTGGAACTTTGGAATTGTGCCAGCCCAGATCGCGTTTTGCTGTAGTTCGACATTGACGGGGGCGACATTGAGGGTGCGAAATGGGGCGATACTTCAGGGACGACGTTGAGGTTCATGTTGGTGAGAGCTGTATGGCCATACAG